AGGTACTAAAAAATATTTGAAAGACGTACGGGGTTTTTTTTGGAGGGGGGGGCATAAAACTAAAGATTGAGTTCAGATAACATTGTCAACCTACCAATAAATTGTAACTGTCATCGTTTTATTATAATTTGTTCTATTATTATTAAGTAGCATTAGCGTCAGGTACGTGTGGGAGGGCGTTTCTATTATTCTATATTTGCAGCTGCAGCAAGGCTTTTCGACGTCCTTGATTGCAGAAAGAATTTGTTGTCGAGTTTTTAATGTCACATGCAAAAGATGTTCTTTTATTACTTCAGTCATGGATGCCCCCTGCCTCAAGAACTATAACAATGGTAAGGAATTGTAATATTAATATTTTTGTTATTCTAGGACTTCAAAATGTTTTCATATCATACTTCTACTCAATATAACTGTTACATGTACTTTACAGCCAAGATTATGTGTACTACTATCCCTGGTTATGTTGAAGTAACGTTTTTTTTTTTACATATTTGTCTTTTTTGGAAGTGTCAAATACAGCCAATTTCAACAGTTCTAGCAACTGTAAACCCTTTCTCCCATGAACCCCCAGTAAATCTGTATCTATAATAACCGGCTATATAGATACAAAACACACCATCTGATCTTGATTTATTTACATCCTTTTATTTATCTGTTAGTTAGTAACTGTTACATGTACATGTATATGCATGACATTACACTGTACCTAAATGGATGATAAATAGAGTTCTTTTTTTGCTTCTCTATGATCTGTCTACAAGCCACAAGTCGCTTCTCTATTATCTGTCTACAAGTCACATTTTTTGGTATATTGCTGATTATGGCTTCATGGATTAAAATGTAATGATGTAATATTTTTGTATGACCAATACTTGTATGACTTACAATATGGTTGTCTATGGTTGTCTTTCCAGAGGAGGAACTTCTGGTAGAGTACTGGAAAAGAGGCTACCAGTACTCTTGAGATCTCAACATTTTTTAGCAACTTTCATGACGTGGATCTAAGGCAGGTAGTACTATATATTATATCAGGGGGAGCTTCATTTGAAAACTCTTATGTGTACATGTTTGTCATGTGTTAAAGAAATGCTTGTTATTGTACAATTGTTAAAATATTGTAGCATCAATGTTTTCTACCAGCACAGCTCTTAATGTTGAATAGGGGTGGCTAAGCAGTTCTTTAGAAAGAGATGGTCAAGGAATATCATGGTGTACATGTAAAATAACTTTTAAAAGATGCAGAATGTCTCATCATGATAGGCTGTCTCTACATGATGTATTGTGTTATATGGTGTAGTGTATGAATATGATCTGAAACAACAGTTTTGTTTTTCAATCTTATTCAAGGGGAACAAACTAGGCAATATTGTGCTGTCAACAAACCCATTTATTTATTTATTGTATACAGTGTGCGGCAGCTAAAGTACAGGTACAACAAGCTTGGGCTATGAAGGCGTCTTGGCACCAGCTCCAATGCAGAAGTGAGGGAGGCCATCCGGGTACGAGTTATCAAGTGTATAGCACAACACTTCCCATTTAAATCCAAATTTCAATAGTCATGTACTCACCTGTAACATTTCCTGTACATGTGTATCTCGTATAAAAGTATTCAATCAGTAATCAATGATTTATAGTTTATCCATGTGACCCTTCCCCCCTGATCCCATACTGTACTACAGAAAAGCTATGTACACAGTACATCACATGAAGATAGTTTCTTCATGTGAAGTTGTCATCAAACAAATCATGACAGTACCAGTTTGTGATTGTAAGTGGTGTTTCTAATGAAAGTCATGAAAGCATCTCAAAAATTGTATGTGTAGTATCACTGTAAGTAGTTGCACATTAGATAGGGTATTAAATAAAGCACTTTCTGAATAATGTTGATAGGTCCTTCATGTCAAGTTGTTGTCAAACAGATCATGACAGTACCAGTATGTGATTCTATGTGATGTTAATGTTATGAAAATCAGGAAAGCATCCCAAAAATATATGCAGTATCACTGTGACTAGTTGGCAATGCACGCAAGTCTAGCGTCTTACAACTAACAGTATAGCAATGTGTACAGTTGTGGATATGGTATATCAAACACAGAATTAAAAATACTGTTACTATTACTTGTTTCTAAAAGCATAACAAACTTACATTGTACTGTTCTCATGAATACTGTGATGATGTAATATGATGATGTACATGTACTTTCTCCATGAACAATGTTAACTGCCATTAGTATGTGTGGAAAAGCATATTTCTTAGTGTTGCAGTAGACTGCCAGAGTTCTTGTTGCAGGTAAAGCCGAATATTCTATCAATTTACATTACAAGTTGTAGAGTTCTTGTTGCTGGTTAAGAGTTCTTGTTGCTGGTTAAGTCTTACATTTGATGACATAATATTACAAGTTAAGTGTGTGAGAAGATCAGTTCCTCTACATCTGTTACAATAAATAAATCACCAAAGGACCACCAATTAAGTGGACACATAAACTAGGTGTTCTGTGTACAGGTTTGATGTATATTAATTTGCAATTGCCACCAGCTCTCGGTACAGTGTTAATAATAACCTTTAGGGCTAAGTACAGGTGAACAGATGAAATAGGTAATATACATGTTTGTATTACAAACAGCTTTAAAACTACTCTAATACAATGGTTCGGCTTCTTCTCGTTTCTTTGTAATGTTAAAAATATAATTTGAGATGTGTTTGTATAATACAGGATGATCAAAGCGCATAAGAAAGATGCATCATCGCAATTTGTGGGATACCTCTTATTTAACCTTTGCAACATATCACATAAGTAGCGATGAAATCTGTCATTCCAAACAAGTGAGGGTGATGTGCACTCTCGCTGTGCATGGTGGAGCATCCTCGCATCCACGTCTTGTAGTAGGTTTTGGCCCCCTATTTAGACCAGAGATGGAGAAAATTAGTACATGACTAAAGATGATAACTTATTTTTATACAATAAACACCAATCATTATTTATTTCCAGATCCTTCTAACAAATTCAATTTTACATGTATAAGGGCAACAAAGGTACAAATGAAAAATAAGTAAGGAAATGAGTAGCTAGCTTTGGCAAGGGGCATTATCTTGGATGCAATGTTAAGCTGACGGTTTCATATTTGAGGAGAGCCATACATGTACCTCAACCATATTAAAGATCCACTTATCGACACTATCTTGAAGTGACTGGATCAAACTTTACCATCCCGTCTAACGCAGAGTGTACTAAATGTACAAAACTGATGTTTCATGCCAAATGGCAGTGTCTAGATTATGCCCCAAAACAACCACTTTACCTGAAAGGTGTGGCAGGAAATAAAGCGCATTTGGACGGCCAGCAGGTGCACCGTGACCAGGCAGCTTCCTTCTGTCATTCCAGCCTTGCGCAAAGCTATTCAGGTCATCTGATAACAAGGACATCATGCAGAAGCGGATACACCAACTGAAATGATGAAAATTGGGAAAATTTACAAGATGGAAAAGCAATATCACACTGATATAAGCAATAAATATAGAAGGCCATAATGCTATACCTGGCCACCATGCAATTTCTAGATCAGGGAAAAAAGGGTATTAGATCTGGTGACAAAAGTGCAACAACACATTACACAGAAAATAGAGAAGACAAAGAAGTTGAAGCTTCAGCTTTAAACCATCACAGATGCGACCTGTGTTACCTGAGTATATTTAATGAAGTAGATATGCAGTGCAAGGAAGAACAATAAATACTCACATATGAATGGTATTCCCAACTTCTAAGTCACCATCTCTGACTAGTTCCTAAAAACATTGAAAAATATACATCTAGCAAGCAGTATTACATTGCATAAGTATGTGCTACATACAGATATCCACATTTCTCATATTCTGTGACATTGTTAACTACCTAATTTCCAAAACCCCTTCTTGAGTTATCCTCTAAAATTTCAGCAAAAACTCCATCTGCATTCCAGAACAGGCTGCTACGTAAGAGGCTGAAACGAACATGTATAGAATAATAGAAACGCCTCCCCCCCACACACACGTACCTGACGCTAATGCTAATTAATAATAATAGAACAAAGTATAAGAAAACGATGACAGTTACAATTTATTGGTTGGTTGACAATGTTATCTGAACTCAATCTTTAGTTTTATGCCCCCCCCCCCCAAAAAAAAACCGCACGTCTTCAAATATTTTTGACCTCACATGTGCACAAAATATGCAGAGAAAAGAACGGTTCGGTACGATTTTTCCTACACAAACTACTACAGTAGGATGCAATTTTTAACTTAAAACCGCTACAATTGTAAATAGATTCACCAAAAAGGAGAAATCTTAACTAGTTACCTACTACACTAACTCTCAGGCCGCCGCCATCTTTGTCACCTTTGACCTTATTGAGGGACAATTCTTTGTAAAAGGGGAGGGGTGTAAGTTTTCCACACAGTAAAAGTTGCAGTGTAAAACACAGCAAAAGTTGCAGTGTAAAACACAGAAAAAGTTGCAGTGTAAAACACAGGAAAAGTTGCAGTGTAAAACACCCAAAGTTGCAGTGTAAAACACCAAAAGTTGCGGTGTAAAACACCAAAAGTTGCGGTGTAAAATTTTGTACTTGTCGGCCACGGTACCCATCACTGCAACTTTTGCTGTCCCAACACTGCATCTTTTGATGTTCCCTCACCGCAACTTTTGCTGTCTCAACACCGCAACGTTTGGTGTCCCAACACCGCAACTTTTGGTGTCCCAACACCGCAACTTTTGGTGTCTCAATACTGCAACTTTTGGTGTCCCAACACCGCAACTTTTGGTGTCCCAACACCGCAACTTTTGGTGT